CACTATTTAAAATGTATTAAAACAATTCCTACCCCTCAAAAACAAAAGTAAAGGAAATTGCTGACAGTCACTGTGCTTTTGTCAATGTCGAGGGCCGGTACAGGGAGGCAGGCAGGAAGAAGCCTCCAGTTTCTAACATACTGGACCACAGGAGCCCTGAGCAATCTGTCAAAGCATTGTTCAGGAAGAAAGATTTAATAATAGAGTTGAATTTGGATCATAGAACAGCCTCTAAATCACCAATGGGCCAAACCCCATTCATCCCAGGTTAATGAACTTCGTTAGGCCGATGCTAGGTGAGAAGCTGTTAAAAAAAAAAAAACAACACGGGGTAATTGTGGGTCCTGACCTGTGAAGACATATGGAATAAAACACCTATAAAAATCTTTATTAAACACAGAGCATTATGCCCAAATTTTGATGATATACCAAAGCTGCACGGTGCATCATGGACAACATGTAGAAATTGTCACATTGATTCCAAGGTTCCCATTATCTGCAAAAAGGTGTGCTATGGCTGTGTCAAAAACCAGGCAGTCGCTGTTCATGATGGCTGCAGCCACCCCGTCGTGAATGGACCGGGGCGTGGCCTCCCAGGTCAGTCTCCGCCGGTTCCCATTCAACTCCAGTCTGTAGGCAAAGTTCTCGGCTTGCTTGCGGGTGCCAATGAGCAGGACGATAGCAAAAAACTGCTGGTGGCCTTCATACTTCTCTTGCTTCTCCAGCACCAGCATGAAGTGGTGGCCAAAACAGGACTGCATCATCACCCAGTCGACAGCTCCTGGCAGGTTAATGTCCGTAGCTAGAAAGACGATGTCCTCTCCCTGGAGGGTGGTGATGCTCTTGTGGGCATGCATGAGGTGGGACATCACAGCTTCCAGGGACCCCTGCCACTTGCAGGAGGCCCCAGGACAAGGGCAGGAGTAGGGACGGTATTCACAGATGTCTTCATGTTCTGGCTTCTCTGTGTGGTGCAGGGTCAGGGAACAGCCTGTGGTGGCATACTGCAGAGACAGAAAAAACACACACTCAGCCTTCTCAGAATTTTTCTGGGTGCGAGTTTCTTGGGCTTATACTATATTCTTATCTCAACTACTTTTGCTGAAGACGATGAAATATTCAAGACCAAACATCTCAGTCCCTATTTGTCATCAATGTTGCCATGGGTGAAATCAAGGGTATGTCCTGAACCACGGATGTACGGCTTTCCAGGCCCCTGTTCCAACACTGATAAAAGGATGAGAAGTCAAGTTTTCTTACTACACACATCTCAAGCAAACAAAATTGTTGAGCTAGTCCTATAAAACCTGCCTTTCCCTTATTTTCAGTGGAGTTGTTTTAACCTTCCCTCTGGGGTGGGCTGCCCATACTTTTGGGTGGAAGGAAATCACACCAAGAGCTATTTGACTAGAAGATTGCTTGTTAGTTCGGTTCCAGCTAGAGGAGGTTAAGATGAGAAGGGCCTGAAGAATCAACATTAAAGTGTCCATACTACCCAAAGCAATATACAATTTTAATGCAATCCTTATTAAAGCACCACTGTCATACTTTATAAAGACCTCAAAAAAACCCTTCGTTTTATATGGAATCAGAAAAAAGCTCGAATAGCCAAGATATTACTCAGAAATAAAAACAAAGCAGGAGGAATCATGCTTCCAGACCTCAGATTATACTATAAATCGATAGTGATCAAAACAGCATGGTACTGGCACAAAAAAAGAGAGGTAGATGTATGGAACAGAATAGAGAGCCAAGAGATGAACCCAGCTACTTACCGTTATTTGATCTTCAATAAGCCAATTAAAAATATTCAGTGGGGAAAAGATTCCCTATTTAACAAACGGTGCTGTGTGGACTGGCTGGCGACCTGTGGAAGACTGAAAGACCACACCTCTCACCATTAACTAAGTTAGACTCTCCCTGAATTAAAGATTTAAACTTGAGACATGAAACTATAAAAATACTTCTCCCTGGAGAAGAAAGTCCAGGGAAAACACTTGAAGAAATCAGTCTGGGAGAATATTTAATGAGGAGGACCCCCTGGGCAATTGAAGCAACACCAAAAATATATTACTGGGATCTGATCAAACTAAAAAGCTTCTGCATAGCCAAGAACACAGTGAGTAAAGCAAGCACACAGCCTTCAGAATGGGAAAAGATATTTGCAGGTTATGTCTCCGACAAAGGTTTAATAACTACAATCCACAGAAAACTCAAATGTATTAGCAAGAAAAAAACAAGTGATCCCATCTCAGGGTGGCCAAGGGACTTGAAGAGAAACTTCTCTGAAGAAGATAGGCACATGGTCTACAGACACATGAAAAAATGTTAATCATCAGAGAAATGCAAATCAAAACTACTTTGAGATATCATCTAACTCCAGTAAGATTAGCCCATGTCACAAAATCCCAAAACCAGAGATGCTGGTGTGGATGTGGAGAAAAGGGAACACTTCTACACTGCTGGTGGGAATGCCAACTAATGCATTCCTTTTGGAAAGATGTTTATAGATCACTTAGGGATCTAAAAATAGCCCTGCCATTCGATCCTTCAATTCCTCTACCAGGTATATATCCAGAAGATAAAAAATCGAATTACAACAAAGATACTTGTATCAGAATGTTTACTGCAGCCCAATTCATAATTGCTAGGTCATGGAAGAAGCCCAAATGCCCATCGACCCACAAATGGATCAATAAATTGTGGTATATGTACACCATGGAATATTGTGCAGACTTAAAAAAGATGGAGACTTTACCTCTTTTGTGTTTACATGGATGGAGCTGGAACATACTCTTCTTAGCAAAGTATCTCAAGAATGGAAGAAAAAGTATCCAATGTACTCAGCTCTATTATGAAACTAATTTATAAGTACCCACACTTCCATATGAAAGCTATAACCCAACTATAGCCCAAGATGAAGGGGAAAGGGAGGAGAGGGGGAGGACTATTTGGAGGGAGGACAGTCAGTGGGACCACACCTATGGTGCATTTTACAAGGGTACATGTTAAATTTAAGGGCAGAATATAAATATTTTAAACTAAGTAACTAAGAAAATGCGGTGAAGGCTACATTAACCAGTTTAATGAAATTATTTCAAACTGTATATAAAACCAGCACATTGTACCCCATAATTGCATTAATGTATACAGCTATGATTTAATAAAACAAACAAACAAAAGATGAGATGGGCCCAATCCTCCTCTCAAAGCCTGCTGAATTTCCCCAGACCACTTCAAGTTCAAGTGCACATTATTTCATGACCAGGTACCTCAGGAAAGGCCTTGGAGGAAGGGGAAGCAGACCCAGTTTGCTGACACAGCCAGTTTGCCCCTCAGACGATGACTTAATAGGCTAGGAACTAAACCTTTTTCTCCCTTGCTCTCAGAATGACATTCCCAATGGATAAATCATACACAGCACAGCAAAAGGGCCACACCAAAAGAAATGGACTTCTGCTCCCAACACTCACAAGAATGACAAAGTTAATTCCTAGATACTAGACGGAGAATCAGCCCACAAGCAGACACTTGCCCATAGTACTATGCTGTTGTTTTGTAAAGAATTAAGAAACCGGAATCACCTTTTCAGGTGAAACAAGGTGTCAAGCCTTTTTTTTTTAACCCCTGGAACACAGTGGCAGGTAAGCTGTCTGGCTTACAACACTTGAACTCCCCCGCTCCACTGAGATGTGACGGCACCAAATAAGGCCAGGGCTAGGTCATTTCTCTAAGATGCTAAAAAAAATGACCAACTGCTAAAAAAAGAGAAAAACCCCACCACAGCTGTTTCTGCTTCTCCCTACCCAGCCTTATAGAATAGCCCCCGTATAAACCTTAAGTTCAAATTCTAATCTTGACAGATGAACTTATCACTAACAATGAGCGGGTACTGACCACCTTTTCCATACGAGACACTAAGCTACAGTCACTCAGAGGACACAGAAGCAAAGATGACAGCCTCCACTCTCAGGGGGCTCAGTCTCCTCTCATCAGGAAGGAGTGGCTTCCAGAAAGAAATTCCATGTATTCCTCCCCCACACCCCGTACCTGAAGTGGATTATAATCTTCAATAGAAATTGGCAGAAATATTTCACTCTTATTTACTTTGCCCGTAGAATTGTTTGTTCCTCTTTTTTTTTTTTTTTAATTGTTGAGGATTCATTGAGGGTACAAGAAACCAGGTTACACTGATTGCATTTGTTAGGTAAAGTCCCTCTTACAAGTGTGCCTTGCCCCCAAAAGGTGTGTCACACACCAAGACCCCACCCCCTCCCGCCTTCCCTCTCTCTGCTCTTCTTGTTCCTCTTTTTTAAATCATGGTCTTATTTGTAAATCATCGGTGTAAGAAAAACTTAATCAGGAGAAATACACTTATTTATCCATGTATATTTACACTTTGTATCTCTGACTTTATAAGGCCCCCCCACCTCTCAAAATACCCCCCAAATCTCTGTTAACTGTGTTTTAAATCTAGGGTATGGCCAGGAATACAGAGCCTTCTGATGTTCTTCTGTGCGAGATGGGTGAGGCATTTCTGTCCAGAGTTTAAAATCACACAATAAAAATAGCAAGAACTAGCCTAGAGCCTGGCAGATCCTCTGGCTGGAACAAGCCCTCCCTACGCGAAGATGGTGCAGAATGAGCTTCTCGCCACAGCTGCCCAGGGCACTTCTTTCCAAAGCCCCCAAATGTCCCTAGTTCATGAACATTTACTATGAATGTGTATCATCTAGCCATTGGTTCAGAACTTTTCCCACTCAAGCAGGAACATTTCTATTCTGAATTATTTGGTTTGCCTTACAAAGCAGACATCCAACACTTCCTTCAACACAAATATAGAGAACAGGGAAGCTCCCCAACTACACACAGAAAGGGCATTACTCTGCATCTGTGCAGACAACGACCTTATGAAAAAAGATCCTGCTACATTCTGTATTAAATATATTTTTAAAGCCTTAGGTACTTTCTCTGCTTTTTCTAAACAGGTTGAACTTTAATATCTGTCTAGCTCCTGCTTTCCATCCTGGGTAAGGTTTGTGTCTTTGTGAGCCTGGTGCCAATTTTATGAAGGCTGGATTAAAGGTCAAACACACACACTCTCACACTCCCTCCGTGCCACGTTTCATACTTACAACAGTCTTGGCATTGTTCTTGAGTGACATGCCAGAGCACGATGGGTGTCGCTGTCACCTTCATCAGGGGGGCTATCATCCAGGGATCGGAGGACTTAGGGGTCTGAGTTCCCTAAGACTGTACGGAAAGCTGGCTAGGTACCTCTGAGCAGCAAAGCCAAATTTCACCGGCCCCTGGCCTTAGGTTTGTGTTTTCTTGAAAAATTCCAAGGGTTTCTGAGGGTTGCTAGGCCACACAGAGGGAATCTGCTGTGGATCCTGCCCTTGCGGCATTCCAGTTAAGGGGGGCCATATGGTAAACCTAACTATACACACTCTAATACATCAGAAATATAGACTGCAAAATGAAACAAAGAGGGTGGCAGGTGATGTCAAAGTGGGATGAGGTGAGGAAGAAGGGGTAAGGCCAGCTTTCCTGCGGACAGTGCACTGCTGATGTTGTTCTATCTGGTTCTAGCACAGGGCGGCGAGGGAACAGTGGGGATAAAACCAAAGGAAGAAGGCAGGCAGGTCGGGGACTTCACGTACAACTCAGTGTATTTCAGGGCTTCTCGACTGGCACACTACTAACATTTGGAATGGGTGATTCTTGATTGCGGGGCTGTGCTGTGTGTTGTAGGTTTCGCTGTGTCCCTGGCCTCCGTTCATTAGATGCCAGTAGCAACCGCTCCCTGCCCCTCAGCTGTGACAACCAGAAATGTCTCTAAGCATGGCTGAACGTCTCCAAGGGAGAGATTGCCCTGGGTGAGAACCACTGGTTCTGATGGGAATTATTCATTCTGATTCTGAACCTGGCTTCCAGGCAGCCCAGAAACAGCTGCAAGGGGCCCACGCCAGCAAGCAGGTCTAGCAGGTCACTGCCCTGCCCA